AACAAGAGAGAGAGAGAGTGAGAGAGAGAGAGAGAGAGAGTTATATATTAAACTATTGCTAAATATTAATTTTTATTAATTGTTTACAAACATATTTGAATTGACTATAACTAAATCAGTTCATAATTTAACAATTTTAATTGTAATTACATATAAATAGCTCTCTCTCCCAATATTTTGTCCCTAAATGGGAGAGAGAGAGCTATTTATATGTAATTACCATTAAAAATTATTAAATTATTAACTGATTATGTTATAGTACATTTAAATATGTTTGTAAAAAATAATAATAAAATTTATATTTAACAATAGTTTAATATATAACCAAATCTCTCTCTCTCTCTCTCTCTCTCTCTCGGTTGGCGGGCCAGGCAAATAAGGCAGTGCATTTAAAACATAATATTTTTTATAATATTATCAGCTAGCTTATCTAAATATTAAGGTGGTTTCCCTGTTATAATTGGAGTTGAATTATGTATGACTACGATTTTAGTTTTACCAGTTTAAGCAAGTGCAATAAAACATATGAGTTTATAATATACAAAAAGATCAATCGATGAATAAAAATGAAGGACTATTGATAAATAAATTTACATTGAAAGCAGAGTTTACTCATTCAAACTAATAAAAGTTTTCAAACTTAGCTTACATTCATCACAAATTATTTATTAATAGTCATTCATTTTATTCATCGATTGATCTTTTTGTATACTATAAACTCATATTTTATTCAAATTTTATAATTTTGACAGAACTGACGATTGCTATGATAAAGCAAATGCCTAGAGCTAAATAGATGTGTCAATACCTCAATAGCTGTCAATTAGATTGATAGTTAAGATTTAAAATATATAAAGATGTCTTGGTCTCTCTCCGATCTGCTATATAAACAGTTAATACCTGTGAGTGTCAAATAAAATCAAGGTTTCTGTTAATTAAACGATAATTATAATAAGAAGTTAATAGCAGTTAATGAAGTTATAAACAGTAATTATAATTTCATATGAAATATGTCGGCAAACGATGTGGTGATCAGCGGTATGTCCGGTCGGTTCCCACTGTCGGACAACACCGACGAGTTGGCCCGCAATCTGTATGCGGGCACTGATATGGTCACCGGTGATGACACCCGATGGCCCATAGGTATGCTTATTAATAGTAACATGGCTGTGATTTATAAATAATGAACAGTGATATTTTAAAATATTAATATAATGTATTAATGATTACAATAATTATAATAAAAGATTTATTGGATATAAACCCACGGATGGGAAAGATTACGGACTTCAATAAGTTTGACTCAACCTTTTTCGGACTGGCCGACCAACTGGTCACTGAGATTGACCCTCAGGCCCGGATGCTACTGGAGGTGGCCTACGAGGCCATTATGGACGCTGGTGAGTTTAGAATTTTAATAAATTAACCAAATTTAATTTAGCTATAATAAGAAATCATTTATTGATATAAACTATGAAACTTAGTTAATAAACAAATAATATATTTTAGGCATAAATCCGCGTGAGATTAGGGGCTCAAACACCGGTGTCTACGTCGGCGTATCCATGTATCCGGCGTGTGAGGGCTATCCCGAGGACATGCAACCGGACGCGCGTTCAACGATACAACAGTTGGCCCTCATATCCATGTCTAACATCAAGAACTTCTACGCGAGTCGTATATCATTCGTGTTTGACTTGAAGGGGCCGTCGATGATAGTGGACACCGCCTGCTCGGCCAGTCTCACCGCCATGACTGTAGCCATGAATGATATGAGACTCGGTTTGTAATCATTTGATTTGGTTAACATTTGCCAATATACTTTGAGTCATACAATATTAAAATTTTAATTAAAATTTATCAAAATATTTATAGCTAGGTTATATTGACAAAGCTCAACTAAATTATATTATATTAACAGATATTGTACTGCATTATAATTTTAGATTAGTATATAAATTATACTGTATAATTCTGGGAGCCTCATGCTTTAATAAAATTTTAAAATTTTCAAAATACCCACCTAGGTCAAATCGACAACGCTATAGTGTGCGGCACTCACATGGTATTCGAGCCCTTCATACTACAGCTGCAACAGGAGTCGGGTCTCTGTTCCCAAAAGGGTGTGTCGGCAGTGCTGGACGAGGGCGCCGACGGTTTCGTGAAGGGGGAGGCCGTGAACGGTGTGTTTCTGCAGCGCCGGCATAACGCGCGTCGAGTGTACGGCACCGTCCGTACGGCGCGTATGAATAACGACGCGAATAAGACGATTGGGATGTTCTTCCCGTCGACCGTAGCTCAGGAGGAGCTCATGGTTAGCACGTATACCGACGCCGGTATAGACCCCCTCGAGTTGACCTATTTTGAGGCTCATTGTACCGGTACTAAGGTATGTGCTTGTATACTTTAATATGAATTTTATAGTTTACAGTAATAATAATACCGTAAATCATTTTCTATTGTTATCTATTCAGTTACAAACTGTCATAATGTTAGACATATAATACTAGTTATTTGTAAAAGTATTCATATAATTTAGTACCACACAGGTAGTTGTAATTTTAACTTTTTATTTACATTGAAACCGTAATAGTTTGCCTCGCTATATTATATGAATGCTATTAATAATGAATGTATTAAATTATGAGTTGTACACATTTGACTTAATTAAGTTCAAATTCATTAATATATTAATGACTATAAAGGTGGGCGATACTCAAGAAGTGAAAGCTATATACAACGCTTATTGTAAGGCACCGGGACGTCAGACACCATTGCCATTGGGGGTCGTGAAGAGCAATTTGGGTCACTCGGAGGGCGGCTCCGGTATTACATCCATCATAAAAGTGTTGATATCCTATGAGAATGAATGCATTCCTCCGAACCGTAATCTCAATCAACTGAAGAGCGAGTGTGAGGTCTATTGCCCACCACTGATGCCTATCGTAAGACCATATCCATATAAACCAGGTTAGAAAATAATGGCATTGGTATTTTTATTAACACAATATAATTACTAAAGGATTGGTTGGTGTCAATAACCTGGGTATTGGTGGTGCCAATGCACACGTAATACTTGAACCAAATTATAAGTTGGGAACCAATGATGGCTTAAGAATAGCACAAACTATACCCAGAATTGTCAACATTTGCGGCCGAACTCAGCAATCAGTCAAACATATCATGGATTTCATTGAAAACAATCCCAAGAAAATCACAA